TAAATCTTTATTAGCCGTTTTTATTCAGGGAGGAGGTTCCAACTGGTAGAAGAGATGGAAGAACATCAAACGCCTCGGAAGCCTTGGCAAACATCCCCCCTCCAACAAGTAACTTTCCAGTCTCCAGACGTCTTTTGCCAGCAAGGGTCTTGACCTAAAAGATTTGGTCCTATTGTCTGGTAAGTTATTATTAAAATACATCTGCCTGATTTCTGCTTGTGCTACATTGAAACTATCTGTACATTTACGAACAATATTCTATCAGGTGCACATACCATTGGAGTCTCTCATTGCCCCTCATTTTCATCACGTTTATACAATTTTACTGGAGATTGGGGCAAACAAGATCCATTTCTAGATAGCAAATATGCAGCTAATCTTAAGATGAAGAAATGCAAATCAATCAATGACAACACCACAATTGTCGAAATGGATCCTGGCAGTTCCAGTAAATTTGACCTTAACTACTTCCAGCTTGTGCTCAGAAGAAAAGGGCTATTCCAATCTGATGCAGCCTTGACAACAAGTGCGACAACAAACTCATTCATCAACCAGCTTGTACAAGGATCACTCAAACAATTCTACGCTGAATTTGGTTTAGCCATGGAGAAAATGGGAGAAATTGAAGTCAAGACCGGCTCTGTTGGTGAGATTAGGAAGCACTGTGCAGCTGTGAATAGTTAAGAGCTTTCTTTTCCCCTTTGTTCCCAACTTTCAATATTCGTGTTTTTATGTTTTTTGTATGTAAACTTTGTGTGAGTGATTCGGGATAACATGTATCATTTCTTTTTGTAGTTATTCCAACTTATTCTTGTACATTGATGGTTTTCTTGAAAATTTTTTATCTCCCCGTACCCCTATTGATTGATGAATTAGAACTACCATAAAATTATCTCCAACAGTTTGACAATTTCTGATTTCATCTTTAATAGCGTATTGAAAGGTTAACAGTTAACTACTGTCAATGGATGTGAATCTCGTGCTTAGACGTTATACTTAATACACACTTGAATTGATGATTGCTACTACCAGATACAAGGCGTTTTTAAATTATGAGTTGTTTCGAGTACATGAAAAATAAAAATTGTCAAATACTTTGATACTTTGAAGGAGCTTTTAAGACAAATAGGTATATTAATAGTATCAAATCAGCTACTTTGTAAGTGAAGAGTTAAAGAACTTGATATAGAATTACTACCATAATTAATGAAACTATCTGCAATTCATTATATCCCCTAATAACAAAGTACACTCCTTAATTTACATGGATTCTTTTTCTCTCATGAACATGGCACCACTTTTTGATCTACAACTCTAACGTCAAGAGCTCACCCTAGTATCTGAATCCCAAAAGATGCTCGAACTTGTACTATGATCTGAAGGGTGTAGAAGTGTAGTATGAGTACCAACAAGCATAGGCTAACTGAACTCCAAAGATAAAACAAGTAAATACAACATTTAAATAAGGAAAACACATCACACAAGTATCTATCGAGGAGATATAACATGATAATACAGATACTATGAACGAAGGAATAGTGTACACTAAGTAAGAGACGAGACAAAGGAACATACATGAAGGCGCAAGCTCAACAACCTAATAATGATAAGATCCTACTACGGAAGTCAACTAACCAAGGAAAGAACAACAGTAATACTACTACTCAACATAACCACAACTTAATATAAGAGCGCACTAAGATAGGGCAAAACCCACCACTTAAGCAATTAACAATCAATTCGACGTAATATACACAATTTTAGTCAAACAATAACCTATTCAGACATCCATAGTACAAACGACAAACATAACTCAACCAGCTCCTATAAGACCGGTAGGTGCAAACAATAACCAACTATATCGATGATAGATAATGCATATGAATGCATGTATTATAGTAGAAACCAGTTGATCCATCAACACAAAGTTCCACACAACCAAGTATATACACCTAGCTACCTCCTGTCCCTGTAGCTAGGTATGAGTAGCTAGGTATGAACCCTGTGACTCCTCCTCATGTTCAGAGAGACTCATATGAGACACGAGAAGTCAGTATTCACTGTCTGATCTCGATATTGAAGCGAATATAGAGATAGAGAAACTCAGATGAGGAACTATGATTCCAATCTATATTTTACTGAAGCAAATAACGCTGCCTATATATAGGAACATAACAACATCAAGCTAACCTATTCCTAAATAACCGCTTGTTATTCTCTCCCACAAGTTAGGAGTTTTAGCTACCCAAAGACTAGGTAAAACAGACTCCAAGTATAGCAAAACTGTTAACAAATCCTCCATTAAACTGATGTTTCCAACACAGCTTACAGAGCTTCAACTTCTTCAAATGAGTAGATTCCGAGTATTCTTCTGAACTTGAGAAAACTTTCCTTCTTCAAAGCCTTAGAGAAGATATCTGCTACTTGGTCTTAACTCTTGCAGTAATGCAACTCAATTATACCATCATTTGTAAGGTCTCTTAAGAAATGATACCTCACATCTATGTGCTTCAGTGCTTGCTTCTCCCGTGAAACACCGGATTTTTTTTTATGGTTGAGCTATTCTCACAATATATTGGAGTTGCATAAGCCTGCTTCCAGTGTTGGGTTTTATTTGCCCTGATTTCTTACCATAAATAGGTTTTCCTTTTAGGAAAAGATTTTGAATCAACTAATCTTCTTTTTGGTAGGAAAAGGTTTAGGACTCTATAAATAGAGGCATATTCCTTCTAACTTAATCAGCATTCACAATGTAGTCTTAAGGGCTTTGAGAGTTTTGGTTAGGGAGAGAATTTGTGGGTCACAAGCATGATACG